AGAGAGAGAGAGAGATTAGCATGTACCTGCACTAGACAGAGTATTTTGGTGTCTATAGTATAGTACATGTATAGAGGAGAGGTCTGAGGTCATGTGTCGGGTGGTGGGACAGAACAGTGCAGGAGGAGATGAAGAGGAATTCTGTGCGCTCTTCCCGCTGTCATCTCTCCGTCAGACCCTCAAGGAGATGTTGGTGGGACTGCTGGATGACGTGAGCGTGTGTGGGAGGTGTGAGTGTATCTCACTGGTACTGACATCATTTCTCAGTCTTTTTTCTTTGTTTTTGTGGTTATAGAGTGAGTGTTTGCATGTATTTATGGTAACACTTTATAATAACATTTATTAATATATTAAACATTGTACATTATGTAAAAGATCTTTAAAGGATGAGTCAACTGTATGTAAGCCATTTGTAGATTGCATTTGTTTGGGGCAGGACTATCAGTTTTACCAACTAATGGCAGATGAAAATTTGATGAATATATTTTTATATATAATCATATTTGAATGTTATGCATTATATAATGTTAATTATATAAAACTTAAATAACACTTATCTAAATTTTTAGTAGTAATATTTAATAACAATAACATGTCCATCTAGGGTGTACATTGAAAAAAAATGTTAGCTGTGCTTGTTAACTATAATTGAGAAATATATATATATATTTATAATATGTAAATGGAAAATGTATGTATTATATATATACACATTTTTTAAATAAAATTTGATATAATTATTATATAAACTACTTTTTATATTTATCCTTACTGGCAGAAAGTGAGTTAATTGTACACTTTTTTTTCTTCTTTTTTTTTAACATTGTACATTTATAAAAAAAAAAGTGTCACTATGCTTGTTAACTGTTTTACAGAAATATATATTTATAATATATAAACAAAATATTCAAACAATTTTATAAAATTGTATATAATTATTATGGAAACTACTTTTTTTATATTATTTATCCTTACTGGTAGAAATTGAGTTAACTGTATTATCTAAATAAAAATATTTAACTTCATATTTTCATATTTTGTTTTTACAATGAACAATCTGAAGTGCAAGCCATTTGTGTGCGATTATAAGGAATTCAACATTTAATTCATACATTTTCTAAAAACGTATGTCATCCTTAGAAGTCAAGTCAAGTCACCTTTATTCATATAGCGCTTTATACAATACAGATTGTGTCAAAGCGGTTTTATAGTGTTAAACAGGAAAAAAGTTTGTCAATGCAAGATGACAATAACAATCAGTCAATTTTTTCAGTTAAAGTCAGGCTTTATAAGAAATTAGCAAGATTTCAAAATGTGTATGATGTTCAATAGGGAGACTAATATGGTCATACTTCTTGGTTCTAGTAAGAACTCTAGCTGTTGCATTTTGGACCAGCTAGAGTTTGTTTATTAAACGCGCACAGAAAACCACCCAATAAAGCATTACAATAATCTAACCTTGAAGTCATGAACGGAAGATGCATACCATAGGGCTGTGGCTATTGGCAGAACAGGCACTTGACCTCTGTATTGCGAAGGGCCTCTATAACTGTACCATATGTAACATGGGCCATGGCATATGTTTCTTGTTTACATCGTGCAAGGTACAATATTCTGATTGTTTGCATCTTGTTTTTAAGCCCATAAATAATAATGTACTCATTCTAATGAATTTATATTGTAATGTACTCATTCTAATATATTAAAATCATCTTAACATTGCTGGTAGGTTATCATTGCACAAATCAACACAAATCACAAATCTCTACGTTAAAAAAAAATAAAAATAAAAAATGAGAAGAGTTCTAACTAATGCGCTGTCTTCACTGTACCTCACGCACACTCGTTTGGTCAGATCACGCTGCGCGCGTGCACAGACATTCTTTTTTGCGTTTAGACAAACTTTTTAGTGCTGACCCGCAATTTTATCAATAAAATAGCTTAATCGCTGAAGAGCTCCATTATCGTTCTCAACAAGGAGCTGGTAACATCATCGTTTCTAAAGCAATTAAAGCCACAGCTTCACTGTTAATAGAGAAATGCGGCAAAACGGTGGTAATTCATACATAGCTGCTCTCTCTCACTCTCTCTCATAAATGAATACTTTTCTGAGAATAGAATATTGAAGTGGAGATCGCTAAACTGCAAGCTAACCGGTGTTTTCAGAAACCAAACAATGGAGAGAGTGCATGCACATGGTTGCCAGGTTGACAAAGATAAGTAACACACTTAGCAGATATTTCCCTATTGCGCAAGTGGGAAGCTCTGTTTTGAGGATTACGTCTCTTTATTGACGTGACATGACATGTGGCCAAGTATGGTGACCCATACTCGGAATTAGTGCTCTGCATTTAACCCATCCAAAGTGCACACACACAGCAGTGAACACACACACACCGTGAACACACCCGGAGCAGTGGGCAGCCATTTATGCTGCGGCGCCCGGGGAGCAGTTGGGGGTTCGGTGCCTTGATCAAGGGCACCTCAGTCGTGGTATTGAAGGTGGGAGAGAGCACTGTACATTCACTCCCCCCACCTACAATCCCTGCCGGTACGAGACTCGAGACCTTTGGGTTATGAGTCCGACTCTCTAACCATTAGGCCATGACTTCCCCAGCCTATCAGGCAACACCGGTTGTGTTCCTCTGCGGCCAGATTAAATATCAGTTTTTTATTTGTTGAACATCAATTAAATTGTTACCCTTAAATTGGTTTGGATGTTTTTTTGTATTTGTTAGTTCGAAGAACAGACACATTCTCTATAGTATGATATCTAGGTGAAAGAGTCTCTATGCGCTGACTTCTGTGATAGTAAGATTCCAACAGAAAATCTAAGCTACACGGAGCTACAATCTCAAACCACTCAGCAGCACGCAAAGTCCATTTAAGGCAAGTCATTTCACTCGGCGGCCATCTTTGAAACGCCTCTTGGGCATGCAAGTGCAGCTCATATCTCTTTTAATGGGGAAACATCGAGTGACACGTTTTAGGTATTCTATAGTCTTTGGCAGCACGGCAGACAAGAACCCGGAACCGTAAAATATAGAAATTATATTTTCAACATGAAAGAAAGTAGTTTCACTTCATTATGATATTTTTCTCAGAATGTTGCCCTAATTCGCTGTCCTTCAAATGTCCCCTCACAATACAGAGTAATTATTACAAGTTATAATAAAGTGTTACAGCTATGGTTATATAACTTGTGTTTCTGCACGCAGATAGCCTGGACCACTTTATCTCATGCTGTTGTTTTCTAGTGGTCTGCAATTACTGTGGACATTGAAATGATCTTACTTGATTGTGCATTGTGTGTCAAAATAGATGAGTGTGCTTGTGAACGCATCTCCTATGACCTTAAAACACTCTCAAATGCACTTCATTATGATTGTACTGAGTTTTGAAAAGAATGATAATTTCGTATGGGTTTTATAGTAGGTTTTTCTTCCCATCCTTTATGTGTTGAGAGCAGCTCTGCAGAGCCGCCCAGAGGGGTTTATCAGTTTGTCAGCACTGTATTACACTCTGACAGCACAGATTACGATGACAAATGGCTTGAATTTTCACCGGTGATGCTGTTTTTTATGTGGTCCGGTGAAAGCGCACCACATGTGCTCTGGAGATAAAGCCTTTAGGAGAGCGTTTGCATTTTTGAGTTGAGCTTTGAGTCAACATTTCTTGCTCTCAGGCATTGTTGGAGCCTGTTTCTAATGGTTCGGTTGTTTTATCCAGCAGTGCTGGATTGTATTGATTAAGAAGCAGGTCACTGATACAGCATTCAGTGAGTGAATGTGGGTGAGAGCGTCATTCATAAAACATTCAGGTGACGTCCCAGGCACAGGGAGTGTGTTGAAATCCCTTTGATTCCACTAGAGTTTGATTCAGTCAATGTGTAAAGTTTAAATGCTAAACACACCGCTTAGCATTTAAAGAAATTAAAAATAAAATTGCTTTGGATTTTCCCCCCAAAAAACATGAATGTGAAATGAATGACATTTTACTGCTAACTTGTTCTTGCCACTTTACTTCAAACAACAATAAAGTTGAATTTCTGGTTCCATCGTCCCAATATAGATTATATATACTGAACAAAATGATAAACGCAACACTTTCGTTTTTGCCCCCATTTTTCATGAGCTGAACTCAAAGATCTAAGACTTTTTCTATGTACACAAAAGGCCTATTTCTCTCAAATATTGTTCACAAATCTGTCTAAATCTGTGTTAGTGAGCACTTCTCCTTTGCCGAGATAATCCATCCACCTCACAGGTGTGGCATATCAAGATGCTGATTAGACAGCACGATTATTGCACAGGTGTGCCTTACGCTCACATTTTAGCGTGGCCTTTTATTGTGGCCAGCCTAAGGTTTATAATTTTGCCTAACTTTAGCTTTTTACTTCTGGCGATGGTATTTAGACTTCATAATTCATAATCACACTTGTGTTCATTTGTGAAGATCATCTTGTTGAAAAAAGGGTGGAAACCATAAAGCTTATTATCTGCAACAATCCAAAAGCTAAAGTAAAAATCCTACTGCGTTTTTGTTGAGGAAACCAGAGTGATGCTGACTTCTGGGTTGGCCTACAAAAATACATCATCACTGCAGCAGTCTACTGAAAAACAGAACTAAAATACATTGATCTTCTACTTTCATTTACTTTGTAGAACTCAGAGATGGTGTGTAATCTCTACCAGACCTTCCCTGAAGTCTCCGTTCTTGTGCCAGAGGGCCACAGGAACCCTTACTCCACTGAAAATGCCCATGCCAGATCCTCTCCCCGTCACATGTCCGTCACAGAGCGCCTGCGCATGGTCATTCAAGAGCTGGTGGACACCGAGAAATCTTATGTCAAGGTACTAAACCGTAGCTGTGGCATTTTTCAAAGTGTATTCATTGTTTTTATGGAGACATTAATTAAAGCATAATGCCTTTTTCTATATTTACACTGCCATATCACTTGTGTCCCGTTGTTTAGGACCTTGGATCTCTATTTGAGATCTATCTGAAGCCATTACAAAGAGAAACCTTCCTCAGTCATGATGAGGTATGTTTTGCAGTGTAAAATAAATAATGTGTTTTGGAGTCCAAATGGTCTTATTTTGTTATATTTAACTAAACTGAGTCAGACCCGAGCTCAGTTTAGCACATAATGTCCGTAATTGCAGTTTCATCCTTTTCCTGTAGATGGAGTCTCTGTTCGGCAGCCTGCCAGAGATGCTAGACTTCCAGAGGGTTTTCCTACAAACCCTAGAGCAGAGGACAACTTCCTCACCAGACTACCATGCACTAGAGACTCCAGAGAAACTCAAGGTAAAATATGGTGATGAATTTATGCCGGATTGTATGATTAACCCTCTGATGCATAAAAGAATCAGTTCCTAGTCTGGAACACCTGGAATAAACGAGACAATTAAATACTAATTAAGTACTTTTGTCAAGCATTTTGTTGTAAATTTAAAAACAAAATGACATAAATAGGTCTGTCATACAGAATTATGGGTAAGGGTCAAGTCAACGCACTGTTGTTATTGTTAAGTAAAACTGTTATTGTTAAGTAAAACATTTTTGTTATTTGAAATAATGCTGAAATATGATATTAGATGAAAAAGTTAACAATTTATTTATTTAAATTATTATTATTTTAAATGTTGCTTTGGCAAGCAGCTGAAAAAGTTTAAAACTACTAACCAAAATAAAACTCAAACTGAAATAAAAATAAATTAAATCTATTTAGATAAATAATTAAAAAAGAATAAAAAAATCACATAAAATTACTCAAAATGTAACTAGAATTAAAATGAAAACTGATAATATAAGTCAAAATATTAATAAAAACTAAAAGGTGTCAATTTCTCAAAGTTGAGATTTATAAATCATCTGAAAGCTGAAAAAATAAGCTTTCCATTGATTTATGGTTTGTTAGGATAGGACAATATTTGGCCGAGATATAATTATTTGAAAATCTGGAATCTGAGGGTGCAAAAAAATCAAAATACTGAGAAAATCATCTTTAAAGTTGTCCCAATGTATATTCCTAATCAAAAATTAAGTTTTGATATATTTACTGTGGGTAATTTACTAAATATTTTCATGGAACATGATCTTTAATAAATATTCTAATGATTTTTAGCATAAAAGAAAAATCTATAATTTTGACCCATACAATGTTTTTTTGGCTATTGCTACAAATATCCCCGTGCTACTTAAGACTGGTTTTGTGGTGCAGGATCACAAATAGTACATTTACTGTACGAGGTTATCACTCATGGATATAACATCACAAAATCTGTCCATTATACAGACACCATGCAGACTGTTAATTTAATTAGACTATTAATCTGTTTTACATTTGATACATGTTTTCTTTTTCAATCTCGCATCCAGAAACTCCTCTTCTCCCTGGGTGGCTCTTTCTTATACTATGCAGATCACTTCAAGCTTTACAGCGGCTTCTGTGCCAATCACATTAAGGTGCAGAAAGTTCTCAAAAGAGGTAAAACTAAAACATAAGCATCATCTGACTTGTCTCGTGGCATATTTCAAAAGAAGCCGAAAGAAGATGAGCCTGGTTCATATCATTCTCTGATTTGTCTGATGGCAGCAAAAACAGACTGGGCATTCAAAGAGTTCCTGGAGGCGAGAAACCCCACCAAACAGCACTCGTCCACCCTGGAGTCGTACCTCATTAAACCCGTGCAGAGAGTTCTGAAGTACCCGCTGCTGTTGAGGGAGCTGGTGTCTCTCACCGACCCCGAGAGCGACGAGCACAGCCACCTCACAGGTGAGAATCTGTCATCATTTACTCATCTGACTTGCTTTTAAATTCAGTCAACCTTTAATTCATTAGTGATTCAATTATGAATTCAGCGAGTTAGCTGACATAAATGGTCTCCTTTCTGTCTGGTGCAGAGGCATTAAAGGCCATGGAGAAGGTGGCCAGTCACATAAATGAGATGCAGAAGATCTACGAGGACTACGGCACAGTGTTCGATCAACTAGTAGCAGAGCAGAGTGGCCCTGAGAAGGAGGTGCATACAATTCTAGAATTACTTTTAAAAGCATACAGGGATCATATTATATGCAGTATATTTTCCCTTTTATGATTTCAATATCAAGCCTGTGTGTCGTGTGTCTCAGGTCACGGAGATCTCCATGGGAGAGTTCATCATTCACAGCTCAGCACTCTGGCAAAACCCTCTGCCCTCTTTGGGCCGCATGAGAAAAGACCCTGAACTCACCCTCTTCGGTAAGTCAGATCTGATTTACTGTAACTCTAAAAACCTTGCAGTTTATGCCGTGTAATACATGTATAATATTAAAAAGTCAGTGCAGTAAGTCAGTGTTTTTATTCCTCCAGTCTTCAAGAGTGCACTCATTTTGGTGTATCGGGAAAGCAAGTTAAAGAAAAGAATGGTGAGTTTTGGAATGTAGCACATGGGGTATTTTTATTAGGTCTGTCAATTCATAAAAATATACATATTTTCATGCTATGCCAAATATTTAATTGAATTATTCATGTACTTAAATATTTGCAGAATACTGATACTTAACATTACATGAACAGATATTACTTTATTAGAGCAGATTGGTCTATTTATTGATGAACAGACAAAAAAACAATTTAGAAATCAAAATATACACTGCTCACCAAGGCTTCAATTATTTGATAAAAACAGCAATATTGTGAAATATTATTACAATTTAAAATAATTGTTTTCTGCATTAAAATGTGATTGTAAAATGTAATTTATTCCTGTGATCAAAGCTGAATTTTTCCAGTCTTCAGAAATCATTCTAACATGCTGATTTTGCTGCTCAAGAAACATTTCTTAGTATTGTCAATGTTTGTTTGTGGAAACCATGATTTTGAGAAAGAATAGAATGATTTATTCGGAATAGATTTTTTTTTTGTAACTATGTAAATGTCTTTACTGTCAAGTAAAGTTTTATATTAATAAAAGATTTATACTAAAAGTATTATATTAATTCCTCAAAATCTATCTGACCTCAACATTTTGAACAGAGGGCACGTATGAATATATTATATATTGTTACATATACAAACAAACATTTGTTTTCTTTTGATATACTTCAAGCTTAAATTACAGAATTTACATGCAGGTCTGAGGTCAAGATTAATAGTGTTTTTAAGTAACACATTAAATTGACAGTCATGGTTTGGTTGCTGTTTGTAAGTTTTATACTGACAGACAGCTAACAGACATTTGTATGTTTATCCAACTAGACGTCTTCACGACCCGGGGATCTGGATCCTTTTAAATTCCGCTGGCTCATTCCTGTTTCATCCCTTCAGGTCCGACCTGGAAATTCAGCAGGTGTGTGCAACGTGATCTTCCTGTGTAAACTAAGAGATATCGCTGATGAACATGAGTTTGACATGGATTAAACAAGAGCTCTGTTCCTGTCAGAGAGTAGATCCAAGACAGACATGGTATTCAAATACCACTTGAACACGTCACATCAGAGCTCGTAAAAAACCCCCCAAAAAACTAAATGTGTATCATGAAAGTCTCAAGCCCTTTTAAAAGACCCATACATTGGCAAAATTAAAATCCAGTCCATAGCTTGCTTAAACATCCTACTCTTTCCTCTTTCAGGGTCAGAGAACCCCTGTGTTTGGGAGGTTGTTCACACAAAATCTGAAGTGGAGGGACGACCAGAGATGTCCTTTCAGCTCTGCAGCAGGTAATGATACTGAAAGTAAAAAAAAAAAAAAAAAAAACTAATAATAAATTAATAACATGAAAAAAATACAACCTTATTTACCATGAGCTGATTCTTCTTAACGTAATACTTCACCCAAAGATGAAAATTCATACTTTAAACATGTATTACATGAGGGTGAGTAAATGATAAGTAGAATAAAGCAATAAGCCCCAAGAAGCTGTGGTTTACAGTGAATTTATAACCGCTAAGGGGTGGACAACGCAAAGTGGAGTCTACTTATCTTCTTCACGGGGCTTATTGCTTTTATAAAATGGTTATTCCATATACGTAGTAAGGTTTCACAGAATAAAACAGAGCAAATAAAGTGTAATGATATTAATAAAAACAGTATTCTTCCACCAAACAATGTAGTTCCTCAGAAACAGTTGTGGTTCCAACAAAGTGGTTGACGAGAAACACACAGAAGTAAACAAAGGTGTATGTTTGTAGTGTAAACAGCTTCAAACGTGGTTCAACCAATCAGAATATAAATATAAAACTAAAAACGATCCGTTTTATAATTTTCAGTTTGGGGCGAACAATCACTTTAAGGGAGTTTTACGAACTCAAACATTCCTCAACCGTAGTAAAATTACCGTAATCTCTTGTGAAAAAGAAGTACACTTTAGCATACTTTCAAAAAGAGTATTTATTACAGAAATAATATACTTTAAAAGAATATACTGAATATGGTGCGTACAATATCAAATAATACACTACAGTTTAAATTATAATCAAGTACTTAACATGTGCTTAGTATGTTAGTCAACATCAGAATACTGTACTTATGTAACGCACAACAAAGTGTACTTCTTTAAAGTAAAACTTTTAACTTGACATTTACAAAGCACACTTATTAAAAGTGTCAAGAAGCAGTCATGAAAGTACTTTCTTTAATTGCATGTAGGTGGCCTTTAATTTAATTCATAATAATACAGATTTTAAAATATACTTTTAAGATTTAAAGTATACTACAAGTTAGGCCTGGGCAATAAAACGGTATCGATATTTATCGACGGTACACCTTCATCGATATCGATAGAAAAATAGTTCGATAAAGCGCACGATATATAGTGGCATAGGACTATGAGTGACGCAGACAGCACACACAAACACATGCTCAATTGAGTGCTGTGCCTGCCTGTGATGAGGAGATTGTGAATAAAGAATGAATATTAGTCGAATTTAAAATAAACATTTGCATTTGAATGTTAAGTGTGCATCAGGGAGCGTCATCAGTGGCGGTCGAGATGCGGTGATCATGTAAGTGACGTTGTTGCATTTTAATGTTTTGTTAGTCTAGCCCACGAGACGCGCCGCTGCTGCGTCATTCAAAATATTAGAGAAATATAGAAACTCAATGCGGAGAAGATCTTGAATGGGTTAAAACTGAAACTAAGCCATTCACACAGAACGCATATTCAGCGCATTTTTTAGACGGACAAATATGACTGCTGCTCTCACGTCTCACACAAGAGATGTATAGAAAGCCATGCAAAGTTGAAACAGTTTAAACTTTTAGAAATCACGTCACGAATTTGTGGAGGTTTATTCCTTTTCGCGGCATCTCATATGTTTTTAAATGCAGTCTGTGTGAATGGCGCTTCGGCTCTTTGGATTAAGCAATGCATAAATACATGATGCTGTTTTGTTCATAATTGTTTATGCAATTTACTAAATTATATTTGATTTTTATGAGTTAATTTAGACGTAATGCACATTTTTATAGAGTTACTTCCTTGCGTTGACAATTTAAATGCGCTGCATTATTTTGCTCATTGCGCCCTCCTGTGGTCATTAGACAGTTAGCCTGTTTAATATCTGTAGCGCAAAATCTAGTGAGCTGCCTACCTGGATGCCATTTTACAAGATAATAGGCAAATATTGTAGTTATGCTGCCTTCTAAGGCACCTTGCTTTGCTCAGGTTCTAAGGCAGTATCACGTATTCTTATCAGAAATTATCCAAGATGACAGAGTTAAAAAGAAATTGACTATAAATATACTTATTCAATACTGAGAAGTTTGAAACATTTTTTTGCTTATTTGATCAAAAATACAATAAAAACATTAATATTATAAGACATGATTATTTTTTTAAAGAACTGCTTTAATATATTTTAAAATGTTATGTATTCCTGTGATGGCAAAGCTGAATTTTTAGCAGATTTTTCCTTTAGAAGTCATTCTAATTTGCTGATTTGGTGCTCAAGATTTCTTCTTATATCAATGTTGAAAAAAAATCTTAATTATTCCAAACTTTTGACTGGTAGTATATAATAAAAGTTCAATTTAACCGGGGTTCTTATAGTCTTGGGGAAACTTGGATATATGAGGATATTTAATAAAATCTAAAAAAAAAGATTTTTTTATAGACCTGGAAAATTAATAATAACAATAAAAACAATCCTAAAACATTTTTGTATGTTATGCCAAGCTCTAAAATATTTGATTGGGCCAAATTGGGAGTAAACAAAAATTTTAAATACTTAATTAGTACGAGTGTAGTATCGAAAGGGAACTTATAAGAAAGCATGCATACACACATACAGCTATCTGAAGATGAAGTCTCCATGAAAATGTGGTCCAGAAATGCATCTTGCCAAAATGCCTGGATAAGATTTATATATTAATTGCATATCAAATTTCCATTCATATTATTTGTTTGTTTATTTGTTTATTTGGATCCCCATTAGCCACTACCAAGCTAGTGGCTATTCTTCCATTTGGATTATTTAGTTTTAATATAAACTAATAAACTCCTATTTGCAGCTAAATCATGAAAGATGGGAAAAGTCTTTAAATAAATAAATCCAATAAATTCAGTGTATTAATTGGTTAAAATGAGTGAGCTCCCTAAAGAACATTCAAAACTTTTGGCAATCTGAATCTTATTTTAATAATATTTATTGTTGTCATTTTAATCTCTGGACACTGACGTTTTCTGTAAACTGAACCTTATGTGCGACTGAGAGGAGTGTCCCAAATCAGGGTAGTCAGCTCACTAGGGTTTGGAACAGCCTTAAATTCAGAGCACAGTTTACTTATCCAGAGCATTTCATATGTGCTGACACATGTATTATTAATACACGAGCAAAGACTGCTTCACTGTAAGTGAATACTGTAGCTTTACATTTGTATTTGCTTGTTTGACAAAGGCTTTTCTCAGCTCAAGACTGAAATGGCTTGATTTCACTGAGTTGGGCAAGTTTTGAATATAGAATATTTTGTCTAAATTATGCTTGTATATGTTTCTTACAGAACTGTTGAATCCAATGTGTGATTTTTATTATTCAAAGCAATTTGCCAAAAAAGAGATTTAACTCAGACTGAAAGTCTAAAATTATTAAATGCCCATGAGAAATATTCAAAACTAATACAATACTAGAAATTGCAATGTTAACGAATAACTATTGGACAGCAAAATGCTCAGTGGGTCAGCAGGGTCAGT